AAAAGTCAGATACAGAGGGCAACACAAAAATAAACAGCCCAGTGATTTACATTATGGCAAGCACGCTGGTAGCCACCCTCTGGGTCAAGGCACCCTTCCCTGCAAGCACCTCCCCAACCGCACCCCTTCTAAGTAAGCAACATTCTTGACTTGCATAATCATCACCTAAGCATTTAAAAACCAAACTACAATTAAGAAGATCACAAATTCTAACAACTATGTTAAGAAAAGCATATTCTGACACATTAAAGTCCCCAAGGAAGACTGAGCATTACAGGACAGGTCCATTGTCAATGCAGGAGGGAGATCCAGCCCAACTCCAAGCAAAACAGAAAAACTGTACAAGGAAAAACTGTTCTTTTTAAAACTTTGTTCTCTTTGAAACGCCTAGCTCTGTAGCTGCTTCATGGCTCTGTAATTGCTTTATTGGCCCCTGCCTTGGTTAATTTTCTTCCTTGCTGAGACAAAATTCACGAGGCTCAGAATTAAGGAAGGAAAGGTTTACTGGGATGTGGAGGTTTCAGTCCATACTTGGCTGGATCCAAAGCAAAGTGGCTCATGGCAGAGGGCAGCAGTTCACGGCAGTGGAAAACAGTAAAAACAACAAGAGCAGAGGGCTGGGGAGATGGCTCAGTGGAATAAGCGCTGCCCTGGCAAACGCAGGCGCCTGAATTCAATCCCCGGTTCCGCCAAAAAAAAAAAAAAAAAAAAAAAAAGACAAAACAACAAGAGCAGAAAAGGAGGAGCGGCAGAAAGCAAGCCTCTTTTCCCTCCTTATATTGCATGCAGGCGACCTATCCCAGAGCAAGTGTAGCACTCATATAAACCCAGCACTGGTCCACAAAGCAATCAAAAACTCTAGAAGCCCACCCTATGACTGCATGAGGCTTTGGTGGACATCGAGACACAAACCATAGCAGACCCCATAATCATGAGAGCAGAAGTGAACATTCAGGATGCTTTCTAGTCATTAATCTAGCCCTGTAACCGATAATCACAACCTTCTAGCTAATCAGAACTGCCAGGCTGTCCTGTCCCATCTTTGTGATCCCTGTCTCATATAAAAATGTTGGCTCACAGACACTCACAGCCGGGCTTTTGTTGGAAGATGTTCCAGCCAGGACCCCCACCTTCATCCCCTACCCTGTGTAAAATAAAGCTGTTCCCTGCTTTCTGACTTCCTCAGGTTTGGATCCTGTCCCAAACTGTTTCGGTTTTTGGTTTTTTTTTTAGATCTGGATAATGTTTTACTATTATGGGCATTAGTTAAAATTTACTATTTGTAGTGGTATACTGGATTATTTGCTCTCTGAAAATAGAACAAGGACAAATAGCATAATTAAATGACAAAAGGAAATGACACCTTTTTACATATTTTCTATTTTCCTTATTGCTACTGTACATGTGCAATATGAAATGCACATTCTTGGATAATAGAAGAGGAACAGCAAAAGAGAAAAGGAGGGGCAGAAAGTTGGGAGGAAATAAACATTTTTTTTTTAGAAGCAACAAAGCAGGGGCCAGGGAGATGGCTCAGTGGAATAAGCGCTTCCTTGGCAAGCACAAGGGCCCGAGTTCAATCCCTGGTTCCAAAATAAAAAGAAGCAACAAAGCAAATATGACTTGGAAATGCCTCTTTGATAATGAAATATGCAAACTTTTAACATGCTTCTGGATATCAAAGAAATAATCTTATATCAAGTGACAAAATATGAAGGAAGAGAACGTCTGGTTGGCGTTTTTAAAGGCATGCAGAAGATGTACAATATATTTGACATATCATGTAGGTTTTGGTGTGGGCACACATTCATGTTTACATACATGCCATCACATACAACTCAAGATTATGCAACAATCTTAAAATTATAATCCTAGCAAAATGGTACTTTACAACAGTAGCTCTTCAAATGAGATTAGAGAAGTGTGATGCATATCATATAACATCAATATATTATGCAGTTTTAATCATACACAACCATATTCATACCAAATAGTCTGATTATCTTCAGAAACCAACAATGCAGCTTCTGTGTCATCAGGATAGAGGCATGCAGGAGGGATATGATTACTGCTATCTACACAGGACTGGGTGTTACTGTCACTTGGTTGTGACCATCAAAGAACTGTCCATTACCTTGCTGTACAGCTTCTTCCACAGAAGCAGAAGCTTGGTTTGTTTCTCTAGTGGTTAGCCTGAGAGGTAACCTACTTATGTTACTAATTCTGTGTTGAGGGATAAGAATGGCTGAGATGAGTGAACCACAGCAAATGATTCTATGCTATCTTTACATGATATTCCAAATATGTCATAAGGCACATGATAGAAGTACAGCAGAAGGCTAGGGTAGTGTCGCCAACCAGCAGATGAAGGCTCAAGGCTGGAAAATTACTAAGAGTAGACATTCAGGACCGGGGAAAATGTCCTCCCTAAACTGACTTACTAGGACTCTTGCTAAGTCAGGTGATGTAGGCCCAGCAAGGAAAGGACCAACTAAGGAAGCCAAATTTGGGACCTAGTTGAGAAGGGGGCTCATGGTGTTACAGGGAAATAACCCCCCAACCTGTTAGATGTGCCAAGTTTGTCTCTCAGGACATAGGAGAATGGAGTCCAAGGCAAAGGAGACAAGCAAGAAAGATTTTTATTAAGAGAAAGCTCCTGAAAGGCAGGCAGGGTCTTGGATGTGGGCTGCCACTCAGGCTCTTGGTCTTGGGGGAGGGGGTTATACAGTAAAATCACACCACAGTTACCTTGGGTCAAACTATAATCAACCTAGAGGATTACCTGTCCAGTTACTTAGTTAATATTGATTTAGTAGAGAAATAAGGTATGCAGCAAGGGTACAGTGCATGGAGAAAAGCAAAGGCATTTCTGGAAGGGGCAGGAGTAAGGACCAGAGTGTGTCCTGGTCATCAATCTCTGGCTTCATTATATTGTTTCTACGCGTTGTTACACTGTTCAGGGTTACTGGACCAAATGGTGCTAGTTATAGCACAGCTTTGGGCTGTGTATCTCTAGGGTCTCCATCCTGTCTCCATCTTGGGCCTACCTTTTATCAACTCAGCCTTGACTACAGGCCTGTTTGCCTCTTGTGTTCTGACTCTATCTTAGGCCTAGCCCCTTTCTAACTGCCTATCAATCTGCAACAACAGGAACTGAACTAAAGTCTGGACCATGGAAGAATTTTGTCAATAATACAATTTAACCACACATTTATTTAGTTATTTTATTTTATTTTTAAACTGAGATAGGGTCTTGCTACGCAATTCAGACTGGCCTTGAACTATGTAACCTAGGTGGGCCTGGAACTCACAGTGATCCTCCTGCCTCAGCCTTTGGAGTTCTGAGACTACAAAGATGGACCTCCACACCCAGTTTCATGTTTATTTTTAAAAATAAATTAACAGCAAAAATACATCTAAAGGGGCTGGTGAGATGGCTCAGTGGTCTAAAGCACCTACTTAGAAGGAGCTTAGCAAAGCACAGGGATCGAGGTTCAATCCCCCAGCACCACATGCCAGCCAGCCCCGCCCCCTGGTGGGCTGAGCTGGCCACACACACACACACACACACACACACAAATAAAATTTTAAAAAATAACATGTTTTTAAAAATACATCTAAAATGACTGAATTTCATGGTGTATAAATTATAATTCAGTAAAGTTGGAAAATTTTAACTTTACACACTTAAAAGCAAGCTCCTAAAGTTTCCTTCCTCCATTTTGATTAAAACTGAAACATGCGCAGTGGGATTTTCAGAGTGTGAGGTACCAGCCAGGAAAACATGTTAATGGTAGACTGCGATCTGGTCTTTGCTGGAAGCCCCGACAAGTTAACTCACGATGTGAAAATGCTACAACTTCATGTTCCTTTTGACAGACCTACCTGCAGCCCAGAGGATCAAATACAAAACCATAGGTGGGAGGTGTTGCTGCTCTCACGTTCAAAACTCTACCAACGAATAAAAACTACAGAAAGCAGTGCCTCGGGGAACTAGTACTCAGAATAACTGCCACAGTTGAGTCACTCTTCCCAATTTATAGAGCAGTGATTCTCAAACTTGAGGATGCATCTGAGTACTTTGGAGTGCTTAACACATAACTGTCACTGGGCAACATCCCTAGAATTTCTGATTCAGGGCATCCAAGATGAAGCTCCAAATTTTGCATTTCTAACAACTTCCAGGTCTAGTGGATTCGGCTGTGCTGGGTACCACACTTTGTGAAACCTTGCTTTGGAGTTTTATGAGGTTAAGAATCCACCTCGCACGCAGGGCTTAGTTGTCAGCTTCCCCCAACAGGGCTCTGCCGGCCGCGCGGGAGCCCCTCGTCCGCATTCAGTCCGGGGGCGCGCTACCAGGCAGCTGACTGCAGGGCCTCCCATCTCCAGTCCCAGAGGTCTTCCCTCCTGCGGCCGGCGGCGGAAGCGAGATAACAGCAGTCACGAGGCCGCCTGTGACCCGGGCTCCAGCCTCCGCAGAGTAGGCCCACAGGGCGGCCCCAGGGCCGGGGCGGAGCCTGGCCGACGGGGGCCGGGCCGGGGCGGGCCGGGGGCCAGGCCGGGTCCTCAGCCGCGGGAGCCGAGCGGCTGCCCCGGCGCCCACTGCGAAGCGCCGAGGCCGGAGGATGGTCGAGCCTAAGGTTCCGGGCCAGACCCTCGCCCTGCTCCTGCTGCTGGGGTCTGCGCATGGCTTCCGCGTAAGTGCGGGCCCCCCGCGCGGGGACGCACTGGGAGGGCCCGACTGGAGGGACCCGGGCTGAGGCCGCGGCCCTGCGCCCCTGGAGCCCCTGCGGCCCCCGGGTGGCCGTCCGAGGCGGCGCGCAGGCAGGCAGAGGCCGGGGCGTCCCGGCGGGGCGGGGCGGCGCGGCGCGCGTCCTCCTGCCCCGGCACTGAGCGGCTTGGCGCCCGCAGACGTCTTCGTGCTCGGGGGTACACCTGCGCGGCGAGGTCGGGAGGTGAGGTGCGCCCGCCCTTTCTCCGGGAGCTGGTGCCGGGCTGCGCAGGCGGCCCAGGGCGCCGCCCGTTCGCAGTGCGCGCTCCACCGAGCGCTCCGGAAGGAGAAAGAGCCGGGCAGGCGGGCGGCCGAGGCCCCGCGAGGGCTCTTGGCGTATATTCCCTCGGGTGATCTCCTTTTCCAGCGTCTCGTCCCTCTCTCGCCAAGCCCCGCCGCCTGTGTGTTTTCGTTTTTGGCTCGGTTTGTTCTTCGCAGTCTGATGCACGTTTTCTTAGGGGCTTGCGGGCCCGGCTACGGGTGGGAAGAGGCCAGCGGCCGAGGCGCGCGCTCTGGCGGGCCGTAGGCCGTGCACCTGCGGCCGGCGGCCTGGCACCTGGGACCAGGCGGCTGGACGCGGGCGGACGGGCAGTTGTCACTGCACGTTCCGCACACCAACGTGGTTTTTCTCCGGAGTTCAGAGGGTGTGAGTCTGTGGTGTGTTTTAAGTGCAAGTTGACAGAATTCTAGCCCATTGACTTATAAAGTACACCTTTAGGTGAAAAGCTATTGGCACCTTATGACAAAATGTAAACCGAGAGCCAGGGAGATAGCTCAGTAGAATAAGCACCTGCCTGGCAAGCACAGGGTCCTGAGTTCAATCTCTGGTACCGGAAAAAAAAAAAAAAAAAAAATTAAACTGAGTCAGATGAGAACTGAATCAGTGGGGCTGGGGAGATGGCTCAGTGGAATAAGCGCTTCCCTGGCAAGCGTAAGTGTTTGAGTTCAATCCCCGGTTCCGCCAAAAAAAAAAAAGAACCGAATCAAAATCAATACGGGGAAATTGGGTTCCGTTCTTCTCTAGCTCAGTTTGTGGCTAGAATAGTAGAGAACTGAACTCATGAACCGAAGCACCCTTGTCTTGAGAAAACAGTTGCTGAAAATGTTTTTATTTGAGGGAAAAGACATTTCTTCTCCGGCCCGTGGTGATTCTCCTGTCCGCATTTTGTTACTCTTATTTTGTTTTTTAAGACAAGATTGTCTTGGGAGGCCTAGCAGAGGCCTGGAGTTCAGGCTAGCCAGGTGTGAAAGCCACTGGTGAAAAGGGTAAAGGGAAGGCAGATCTTAGCATTTATCGGAGGGTAAAGCAGAATAGTGACAATTAATGGAGGAGGAACAGGTCCATGGAGCAGCCCTCTGGGTGACGGTGCCAGTCTCGGGTGCCATCTTTAGATAGGTAGGACTCCTGTCTGGGGCCCACAAGTGTGGCCAGCACCCTCGGAATTTTCAGGGATCTTGGAGCCCCTCCTGGGCCAGAAGCTGAAAAAAGATAACCATTAATTTCCTGTTTGAATTTACTTAGAACAGTGGTTCTCCATCTTTAATTGCTCTAGACAAAATTTTTAAATACTGATTTCTTTTAAGTAATTATTACATATTAATGAGCAATGCATTTTAATGAAAAATAGCGTATTTCTCCTACAGTACTCTGGAATTGCAGTGTTTTACATTTTGTATCTGTCTTTAATAGAAGACAGACTTTTGCATCTACCTCTAAGTCTGCTGTGTGCTTGGGAGGGAGTGAGAAAGGCAAAAGCGCTGCAAGCTTAGTGTTAGTAGGAAAATAGCTTTGAGCAGGTGGACCCCTGAGTGGGTCTCCTGGATCACATGTTGAGAACCACTGACTTAAAGTAATGTTTTTCTTATTATCGAAGAGGTTCAGGTCATTGTGGACAAACTTTATACACATAGGACACTATAAGAAAAGAAAAATTGTAGCCAGATGTGGTGGTGTAACCTTGTAATCCCAGCACTCTGGGAGGCCGAGGGAGGAGAACTACAAGTGCAAGCCTAGCTGGGCAGTTTAGTGAGATTGTCTCAAAATTTTAAGAAATTACAAACAAAAAAGGATTGGGAATGTAGCTCAGTGCAAAGGACTTGGGTTCAATTCGCAGTATCATATGCACACACAGAAGCTGCTGGTCACATCACCATCTGGTGGGTGACTGATAGTTGAGGGGCTTGGATTCTAGGTGGGCTGGGCAGATTTGAGCAGCCTTCGGTTTTGAATGAGGACAAAGATGCTCTATTCCACCAAGCTGACGTGGCTTCCTGGTTTCAGGCGGAGCTGACCCAGAAGCCTCTCCTTGGCCAGTGTTTTTCTAAGGAACTCATCTTCCACAGCTCAGCTCCACAGAACCGGCAGGGACTCTTCTAGGAGCAGAGGAAATGGCACTCTTCAGGCAGCTGTCCCTGGCCTCAAAGGCCGCCCTGGCTGCGGTCACTGTCTTCGTGTCCATGATTGTCTCCCGCTCCTTTCTGGCAGAGACCCTTGAGCTGAGAGCCTGGCGTTGGCTGTTTCGCCTGCAGCTTGCCTTCTTTGTTAACTCGCTCATGCTCATTGGCTCTCTCTACATCTGGCATAGTACTGTGAGCAACCTCAGCCACTCCCAGGCCGGGCAGTCCACCTGTTTCCGGCTTTGGAAGCTGGTTGTTATGGTATTTCTGGGACTGGCCCATTCCAGTTTCTTCACCATGCTCTTTTTAGTGGCTGAGGAGCCCTATCTCTTTTCCATGGCAGCCTACTCCTGCCTGGGTGCTTATGTCATCATGCTGTTCTTCCTTTGCATCCTCAGCGGGATGGAGCAGGCCTACCAACTCTTGGCCTGGCACCGCGGTAGGGTGGCAAGCGGCCTTGACAAATCTCAGAAGCTGGTCCTCAGGCCTGCCCTGGCAGTGGTGGTGACTGCTGTGCTCAGTGTGATGGGCTTCCTGAATGCTGCTCAGCCCCCAGCTGTGAAAACTGTGGCAGTGCCCATCCATCAGCTGCCCCCATCCATGAACAACCTCAAGATCGTGCTTCTCTCAGACATCCACTTGGGGCCTATGGTGGGCAAGACAAAGATGCAGCTGTTCGTGAGGATGGTGAATGCTCTGGAACCAGACATCACAGTGATTGTGGGTGACCTCTCTGATTCGGAAGCCTCTGTGCTCCAGACAGCTGTTGCTCCTTTGGGACAGCTTCACTCACGCCTTGGCACCTACTTTGTCACAGGCAATCATGAGTACTACACATCAGACGTCAGCAACTGGTTTGCCCTGCTGGAGTCCCTGCACGTCCGGCCTCTTCACAATGAGAATGTAAAGATCTCTGCAATAGGGGCCCGAGATGGTGGTAGTGCAGGGGAAGGTAATGATTGGATCTGCTTGGCTGGGGTGGATGACATCGAAGCAGACATTCTGCACTACTCTGATCATGGCATGGACCTCAGCAAGGCCCTAGAGGACTGCAGCCCAGACCACACCACCATCTTGCTAGCCCATCAGCCCCTGGCCGCCAAGAGAGCTCTCCAGGAGCGGCCAGATATAAACTTGATCCTTTCGGGGCACACACACGCTGGGCAGCTCTTCCCCTGGAATGTGGCAGCTTATCTCCTGAACCCTTTCTTTGCAGGTCTCTACCAAGTGGCTGAGACTACATTTGTATATGTCAGCCCAGGTACAGCCTACTACGGGATACCAATGCGGCTGGGGAGCAGGGCAGAGATCACAGAGCTCATCCTGCAGTGCGCTCCCTGAGCCAGCGTTGCTCTGGAACCTTGCCCTGCCCTGCCCTGCCCTGCCCTGCCCTGCCCTGCCCTGCCCTGCCCTGCCCTGCCCTGCCTTCACCTTCCAGCCCTCTTCAGTGTGACTTGCCTGGTGTACCCTTCCAGCCTCTCCTCCCCACCCCTGCTGATACCCTCTTTGTCACAAAGCCTGATGTGAACAAGGTCACTTATAAGGGAATACAAATTATTTCCCAGCAGGTGTGGAGTGAGGCATCCTACCAAGTGTGTGGGAGGGAGCGGAACGGAAGCATCAGATTGCTGCAAAGGGACCCTTTGAGTCTTCAGGGTAGGGAAAGGGCAGGTGCCTTCTTAAACCCTCATTAGAACTTAGGTGATCCAGAACCTTTCTGGCAAGGAGTGATATTTGTAGTTAATTTGAGAGAGACGAATGGGCCGAAAAGCCCCTTCCACTGCTGGAGGGGAGTATTTTGTTTTCCTCCTTGCTTCTGTTGGAGTAACCTCTATGGAGGGCATTAACAAAACCTGCTTGAACACAGGGCCCCTCCTGTCTGGGCCTTGAGTGATGCAGTTTAGCTGGGTTACTGGGCTGGGCGGTCTTAGCATGAGAAGAAATAGCACTGTGGCAAGGGGTGGTAATAGTGAAATTTAAAACTTTGCTTCTCTGATTTTCTGTAACAGTCGAGTGAGAAAATTAGGGATGGGCTACTTCCCTGTTTAGAGATGAGGAAATGAAGGCAGAGAAAGGTAGGGGACTGGCAAAAGGCCAAGTATGTTGGAGGGCGGGGCTGTAGCTCAGATCACTTGCCTAGTGTGTGAGGCCCTGAGTTTGATCCTCAGAGCCTTGAACAAAACAAATTAAAAATCCTAAAGTTATCATTTCTCGGTCTTTTGGTTAAGATCAGGTGTAAAACCTCGAAAATTGTATTGGAGATTTGCTGCCCGAATCCAGGTCTTCTACCTCCCATTGAAAGCTATTTCCATTCTGATGGTCAAACAGCTTTATTATTTACAGATGAGTACACTATTCTACTGCATTTGCCACAAAAAGTAAGAAACGAGGCCATAGAACAGTGATGGCCAACCTTTTAGAGTTTTCAGTGCTAGCAGCTGCTGTGGCACATGCGCCATAGGTTTGCCACCACTGCCCTAGAAACTGTTGTTTCTTCACAGTGTCAGCTTGCAGCTGACTTCAGCTTATGTACAGCTATGTGTGGCAGAGCCTGGATTCAGTGTAGGCTGTCTGCTACATTTGCAGATGAATCAGAAAATGGGAGCCCCAACTCCTCACCCCAGGTTTGGGTCTGGCTTTTTGTGAGATACAGAGGTTCACTGTCTTCCACTGGGGAAATTAAGGCCCTTGCAGGCTTCCCTGTGGAAGTAGGGCTAAGGAAACAGGGACCTGTCCTGGGCACAGTCCAAGCCACCTGCTTAACCCATAAAAGCTGCCCTTGGAATGGTAGCTCCAGAACAGTCGGACCATTTTTACTGGTCTCTAGACACATGGAAAAACTTGTAGGAGTTCCCCTGCAGTGTGACTCCAAACCTGGCAGCCTAGCTCTTGAGAGATGCGTGAGAGACCAACTTTGGGCTGGCAGTAAGCACGTTTAGGAAAAGGCCTCACTGAGAAGACAGGGCCTGGGCTTAGCATTGACTTGGTGATTTTTAGGCATTCAATTGCATCCTTTTGATGGGAGCACAGATGCCCCCTCTGCTCTCAGGTGTGTGACCTGACCCCACTGATAGCTTGGCTTCCTTCCATCAACCCTGAAATGGGATTAATGATTGTAACTACCTCAAGAGTGCTTTCTTGGGAGGATAGTAAGACTGAGGTGTGAATTTCAGGTGAAGTAGTGTACACAGTCAGCACTTAGCGTAGTGTTAGGTTAATTTTTCACTACCACATAGAGTGTGCTAAGTAACAGGGCACAGGGACCCAAGAATTTTTGGAACAGCCAGTGTTGGGGAATTGAGCAGGTAGTGAGTTGCTTGCTGCCAGGTTCAAGGAATTGTCCTGGCAGCAGCGCCGGGAGGTTGCCTCGCTGTCTGTGTTAAGATGTTATGTACTCGCTGCTTGGCAGATGCAGTTTATTCATTTTCTCCTTGTCCTCCTGGTGTTTGTTGGAGGTTTGGGGGATCCAGGACAGTAGGCCATCCAGTCAAGTCTAAGAAATGTCTGAGTTGAAGCCTCAATGGCATCCTCATTTTTTCTCCCTATTTAGAATTTGAAAGCAGTGGAAACGGGCTTTTTAAAAACACATTTTTATGCCAGGCATGATGGTCCACACATGTAATCTTAGCACTTAAGAGGCAGGACAAAAGGATTACCATGCATTTGAGGCTAAGCTGGGCTACAGAACAAGACCCTGATTCAAAAACAAAACAAGTTCCAGGTCTGCTTGGGCTACATCGCAAGACCTTGTCTTAGAAAAACAAGCAAAACACATTTTGCAGGTTCTTAGAGGGATTGCAGCTCAGTGCCCAATTTGCTGGCTCCCTGCTCCAGGGCGCTGTTGCCTGCCTGGCCACCCCTCCATCCTTAGGACAGCCACTCCTTCAGATGCTTTCTAGTCACCCTGCTATGTTTTTGGTCATCATTTTTATTGTTTTCAATTCTTTCTTGTTTTGGATTTCACCACATTAAGCTAGTTGTTGGCCATTTCATTCCTAGCTTTTGCTGTAACGTTTGACTTAACTGCTACACCCATTATTTTACTGCTTCTTGATTTCTGAATCTTTCTTATCAGTGTCCAGGGCTTGATGTAATTAGTTTTCATTAGGCTTTTCTTGGACTTGTATACTTTTTTTGGCACAGCAGGTTGAACTTTGCACTTGCCAGATAGGCACTTATGCCACTGACCTATCTCCCCAGCCCTTGTTTTTTTCTTTTGGATGCCATCTTTTGTGCTCTATGTACCCTTTGTTCTCTCTGGAATCTGCTTGACCCCTGGCTTTTGCATTAACCGAAAAGAAATGGGCCCATTCCATGTAATTGAGAGACATCCGCACTCTCATGCTTGATTTGTATTCCCTGTCTGGACAGGTATTCTCCTCGCAGAAAATTCTCCATTCCTTTCCAGATTTGCCTCTCTTGTGGCATTCTTTGTCCTCTCTCTTCAATGTTCTTTCTTATTTTCTTCATCTGTGCTGAGGATTGAATTCAGGGCCTTTACCCAGAGTCTCATCCCCAGCCATTTCACATTTTTAAATGTTGAGTCTTGCTAAGTTGCCTCAGCTGGACTCAGACCTTCCCACCTCCAGGCTGAGCCTCCCAAATCTGAAGTGTAGGCATGTGCCATTGCACCCAGTTTGTTAGTGTTCTTAATGTATTCATTACACTGCCATTATCACACCCTTTTGTTTTGTTCATGCTTGTGGGAGTGGGGAAGCTTGATCATTCTTTTTTTTTTTTTTTATTTAGTAGATGTTTGCAGTTCATACAGTTTCTATTCCTTAAGAGAACTTGGTCCATATACGTAAGACATCTTAATTCCTGTTTCATTTCTTTGATCATCCTTTAAACTTTCAGTTTCTTAAAGTTAGATACAAATTGATATATAATGCTTTTTAAAAATTAATAATAGCACAGAGTATACTATTGTAATGAGACCTCAGTTCTATTGCCTTCATTCCTCAGCACAAAAAAAAAAGCATAACCATATGTCATGATTCTATCTAATAAAACTAATGGGTTTTTTAAAAACCATGCAGTACTAGTCAGATTTGGAGCATGAAGCAACATCTTCTACCTCCCAGTGGAAGTGTTTTTTCCACTGTATCATTCATTGAACTCAGTTCTTTCCGTGTTTTTGAATATGTGCCCTGAAGTAGAATCTTACTGGATCATATGATAGTTCCATTGTTCTATTTTTAATCTTTTGAGGACCCACCTCATACTGTTTTCCATAGATAGCAATTGCATCATTTTGCTGTCTAAAGCAGATTTCTCTAAATCCTTGCCACCTCTTGATGCTTTCTGTTTTTGTTTGTTACTTTCGTATAATAGCTATGATAATGTGTATGAGGTGGTACCTTGTGATCTTGATATGATGACTGAGGTTGAGCATTTTATCTTTTCCTCATTGGCCATTGGTTACTACCTTTTGAGAAATGTCTGTCCAAGTCCTTTATGCTTTTAAAAATAAAGTTGATTTTTTTGTTGTTGTTGTCGTTGTTGAGATGTAGGAGTTCTTTATCTATTTTGAATATTAATTCCTTAAGAGATGGTTTGCAGATATGTTCTTCAGTTTTATAGGTAACCATTTTACTCTGTCAGTTGTGGTTTTTTGATGTAGGATTTTTTTTTTTTTGATAAAGGATTTTAAGTTTGATGTTCCATTGGTTTCTTTCTCTAATAGTAGTGGGAGTTGGACCTTAAATTTAAGATCCTCCTTCCTCAGCTTCCCGAGTTGCTGGGATTTGTGGAGTGTGCCACTCAGCCTAGTTTCTCCTCCTCTGCCTTCACCTCCTCTACCACCTCCTCGTCTGTGCCTTTGGCATCACATACAATAAATCATTGCCGAACCCAATGTCATTAATATTTTCCTTATGTTTTCTTCTAGGAGTTTATAGTTTGGGGTGAAACATTTAGATATTTAATCTACTTTGAGTGTGTGTGTGTGTGTGTGTGTGTGTGTGTGTGTGTGTGTGTTGCTAGGGATTGAACCCAGGGTTTGTGCCAGTTAGTAGCTATTATGCTGCTGACCTACACTACTACATCCTCAGCTCCCTTTGAATTGATAGTATATGGTGTAAGATAAGGTCCTACGTCATTCTTTCTACTTCTAGTTTTTGTTTTGAGGCAGTATCTCACATTGTACTGCAGGCTGGCCTTGAACTAACTCAGTGATCCTCTTGCCTCAGTCCCTCAAAGCCTGGGATTACAGGTTTATGCCATCTTACCTGGCCCAACTTTATTCTTTTGCCTGTGGGTACCCGGTTTTCCCAGCACTACATGTTGAAGGGACTGTTCTTTCTTGAGCACTGTTGGCACCTTTGTTGAAAGGCATTGGACCACGTATGTGAGGATTATTTCTGTACCTTCCGTTTTGTTTCATTGGTCTATCTTGTCTTTATGCCATTATGCCATTTTGATTGCTGTGACTTTGTAATATGTTTAGGGATCCTGATTAGGAATCTTCTAACTCTCTACTTTTTCTATATTATTTTGACTATTCATTCTTTTCAGTTATACCATTAGGGTAAATGTCCTCTGTCCTTTCTTCACTCCCACCCTTTCCTCCTTCCAGAGAGCATCTTACTATGTAGCCCAGGCTACCCTCAAACTGATGATCTTTCTCCTCAGACTCCTGAGTGCTGAGATTTCAGGTGCACACCAGTATGCCCAGCGGGGTACATTTTTCTGCTTTAGCAAAAAGTGGACTGATTTTAATAGGGACCATATTGCTATCTTTGAAGATAGCTTTGGATAGTATGAACTTCTAATACAGGATTAAATCTTCCAATCTATGAAGACTGGAGGGTGTTTTGTTTTGTTTTTATATCCTTCAGTGTCTTTCACTTCCTTGGTTAGGTTAATTCCTGTGTTTTATACTTTTTGATGCCTTTGTAAATGAATTGTTTTATTAATTTCTTTTTGGGCTTGTTCATTGTTAGTGTAGAAATGCAACTTTTATGTGTTGATTTTGTGTGCTCCCATTTTGCTTTATTCACTTATTCTGACATTTTCTTTCTGTGTAATCTTGAGTTTTCTACCTATGAGACCATATTATCTGAAAAGAGATCATTTTATTTTTTTCCTTTACAGTTGAATGTCTTTTATTTCTTTTTTATCTAGTTCTCGGAATTGTAATTCCTGAATTATGTTGAATAGAAGTGCCAAACCAGGCATTTACCCCTCATTCCTGATCTTCAAGGAAAGTTTCAGTCTTTTGCCATTGAGTATGATGTGAGCTATAAGCTTTTCTCATACGACCTTTGTGATAGAAAATAGTTGTCTTCCATTCCAAGTTGGTTGAATGTTTTTATCACAAGAGTATTGAATCTTGTCAAATGCTCGTTCTGCCTCCATTGTGGTTTTGCCTTTCATTCTGTTGATGTGATTACACTGATGTGTGTGTACGTGTACATGTATACTAGGGGTTGAATCCAGGCTTTGCACTGAACTACTCCTAGCCCTATTTATTTATTTTTATCTTTTTATTTGTTTGAAAGTAGGTCTCACTCACTAAGTTCCCTGGGTTGGGATTGAATTTACAATCTTTTAGCTTCACTCTCAGAGTGCTGGGGTTAATGTGTGTGACACCATGCCTCGCCTTATTGATTTTCATTTGTTGAACTATTCCAAGAATAAACCCCACTTAGTCATGGTGTATAATGTTTTTAATATATTGTTGAATTGTTTTGCTAATGTTTTATTGAAGATTTTTGCCTCAGTATTCATCAAGGATATTGTTCAGCCATTTTCTTATCTGGGCTTGGTATTATTATTGGCCTCATACAGTGAACTTGGAAGTGGTCTTACCTTTTAATTTTTTAGAAGAGTATGGGGAGATTGAAATTAATTCTTATTTAAGTGATTGATAGAGTCAGTCAGTTTTCTGGAGTCATCTGATCCTGGGTGGGCAGGCCTTCTCTCTTTCTTTTTACCAGGAATCAAATTAAGGAGTACTCTGCCCTTGAGTTACGTTACCAGCTCTTTTCTTTTTTCTGTTACTTTTTAAAATTTTGTTAAGTTGGCTAAGCAAGACTTGAACTTGTTTTCCTTCAATGTTACCCTCCGAAGGAACTGAGACTGCAGGCATGTGCCACCATGCCCGGCTGTTCCTGAGTTTTTCTTTAAGGTTTTACTGAGTCAGCCTCTTTTGCTAGTGTTAAGACTTTCTGTTTTTCAAGATTCAGTTATGGTAGTTTGTGTTTCTAGAAATTTGTTCCTATGTTTTAGGTTATTCTATATGTTAGCATAGAGTTGTTCATGGTATTCTCTTCTGTCTTGGTTACTTTCCTCGCTGTTAAGACAAAATACCTGACATGCAAAGTTAAGGGAGGAAAGGTTTATTTGGTTCACGTTTTGTAGAAGTTTCAGTCTATAATGGACTAGCTCCAAGACAGGTTGGCATGGCCGAGGGCCAACACAGAGGAGAAACAGTGCGTGGTATACAGGAGACAGGAGTAACAGCTTGTGGCAGGTGAGTGAGGGACCTTAATATTTCCGGATCCAGATATTTTTATGTATGTGATGATTGAAATGGTAAATCTTGATGTTCAGAGTACCCCATCTTTAGCCAATTGGAGCCCTTTCAAATTAATTTCAGTATTATTTTGATCTGACGATACATTTTTCTTTTTTTAGCTTATTTTGTGTGCACTCTGCCAGACTTCATTAATTTCTTGAGGAAGCAACCCTGGTTCCTTTCAGTGAGAATTGTTAGAGACTCTAAGTTAGGTGCTAGATTAGCACTTAGGTTACATTGCTACTTGGTTAGATTGCTTAGGTGCTTGTTTCTACTCAGTATCATTTCTAAGCTTTCAGTATGTATTTCTAGGAAATAAAATACTTTCATAGATTTTTATACCCCTAATTACAGGATCTTCACTTAATCTTCTTTCATTTTGTCTTTTTCACTGAAGTTTTGCTTGTTGGTTTCTGTTTGTTTTTCTGAGACAAGGTCTTCCTATATAGTACAGATTGACTTTGAACTTAGTGTATAGTCTAGGCTGGTCTCATACTCACAACAACCCTTCTGCCTCAGCCTCCTGAGTGCTGGGAATACAGATGTGTGCTTCCACTTCTGATTATACTGAAGTGTAAAAGGAGATTTCTGATAGCCTTATACAATTATTCATTTACTTTCTCACATTACATAGTATATCATAGGTTTTAAATAGTAATACCAGAGTTATTAGTAACATAATGTCTATTGGGTATACTTTATTTTTGCCTAAATACAAACCATACCTGTACTTTTATCCTAAGAGATAGACAAAGTATTACTTGAGACTCACTTGAAATATTTTTTTGTATGTGGAAAGTTAGGTGTTTATTTTTAATTTATGGGTTGGCTGTGGTGGTACACACTTATAATCCCAACTGCATGGAGTACTAAGGCAAGAAGATCATGGGGTCAAGGCCAGCCTAGGCTACATAGTGAGACCCTGCCAAAAAAAAAAAAAGGAAAAAAAGAATTGGTTTATGTTTTTCAATTTTATTTTGTTTTCTTCAAACTGTACATTCATCTTTATTCTGAGATGAAGGGGCAGAACTGAATTTTAAAATGTCCATAAATCCAGGAGGATTGGGAACCAGCCTAACACTGTATTTCACCTCCATTCTGCCATCTCTTTTTGTCTTATGGCATAATTTATCTCTTTTACCTGGTCTTTTGGAACAAAAATGTTTTCTTGATGTAAGAAAGTCAT